TTTTCCTTCAATCAAGTTTTGTCTCACTGGATTTTCTTGACAAGGTTTTAACGAGGCAGCAGTTTATTACTCTTCATATTTGTATTCTTTGTTATTGACATTTTTGTACCATCGGATTTTTTTCAAATAATGTATCAAGAAGATAGATATTTTGTAATGTGTCATTCAAAGGGGAGTGTTGTAAATAGTAAGTTATTGGTGAATGACAGTTGTACCCCTGCAGCCCTAAATATTATTACCACATGTATCTATATTCCTTTCCTATAAATATAAGACTTTGATTTTCATTATAATACACACAAATCTATTGACTTCTCTTATTCTCTTTTTATAGCAAAAATTAATTATTTGTGACCAACATTTTTTTGGCAGAAAAAAATACAAATATGGGATTTCCTTAATATGGACACCTGTAAGTACATTTCCCGTTTCTTGATGAACCAAACACCTCAATTGTGATCTCACTAAATTTAATACATTTTGATAGGAAATCTATATTATGCCCCGTTTGATAGGCAAGGAATCCTTTTTTCACTTTTCCCCTGTTTGATGAACCAAATTTGCTTTGGAATTCATTTTCACTCTTTTCCTTCACGCACCATCTTTTCCCACATTTCAATTAAAACGTTTTCCTTTGGTTTTGTTGGAAATTCATTTTCCANATTTATTACTTTTATCGACTATTTTCATGAAAAACAAAGTCAAACTAATGGTATTCGGTATGATAGTTTTTTTTTTATTTTTGGCAATTGGAACAAATTCTAGACTCAATGGTAGAAAAAATTATAACTTTAATGGACCGTTTCCATGAAAAACAAAGCCAAACGGACACCAAACTTTCAACATTTTTAATGAGGAAAATTATACCAATCAAACACAATTAATTACAATTCCCAGTAAAACAATTTTTAGACAATTCAATTTCCAGTAAAACATTTTCATTCCATTCATTTTTTACATTTACAATCAAACGGACCCTAAAGGATTTAAGAAAAATTATAATTTAAGATTTAAATATAAAACATATTAAATTCGATTATGAAATCTTATCAGATGACTGATAAGAGTGAAGTATCCGTAACATATATTTGTAGCAACGAAAATGTAGAACATCAACCCAAACGTGGGAAAAGAAAGTACCAAGGAAATGAACTTTGGGCATCGGGGCCCACTTGGGCCAATTTTCCTACGACTTTTTGTAGTAAGACAACTTTCTTTAACCATGGAATGGGTTACGGCATATGGGTGTCAATCACTCATAAATAAAAAATTAAAAGCACAGAAGAAAGTAAAAGCCTGGATTCGTTGAAAACGTTTAACGGCTTAATCACAAGGCATTTGATTCAGTCAAGTCGCCTTTTCCTTTCCTTTTCAATTTTTTTTTTGATATTCAGGTATCCTAATTTACACCAGACTAGGTCCTGGACCACCCATTCCCGGCCTCTCAATGATGGGTGGAGGTTAACCGCGGGATATGTCCAAGTTGACCAGGGTCTGTGCACCCTTTTTTCTGCAGCTAGTTTGTCAAGATTATTGCTTTGATCGTGCTTTTATTTTAGGTATTAATATTTTGAAATGATAAAAATTGTGAAAATACAAAAATAGATATTTGGCCCTATTCGATCAAATTTAAGTGAAAATTAATAATTAATTTTAATCACATATTTTATGGGATCCGTAATTTTTCAAATATATATTTCATCCATTTTTATCAAAATCTATTAAAAATTTAATTTTAATCTCCATGTCGAAATATATATATATATTTTTACATAATACAAGAGTAGATGGATGCTCCAAATTCAAGATTTAGTGGCATATGTTTACAAATTTCAAGAATCATATTATTTTAAAATATCTCAAACATAATAATTTAACCGTTACACATCCAATTTTGCATTAATTTTTATTTTGTCACAGCTTCACGAAAACGTAAGTGATTTCTCTTGTGTCAATGTCAACTCGACTATCAATCAGTATGAATTATTGCAACTCAATACGCGTCATTTATGTTTGTACAGCCTTTTTTATTTCTTTACTTGGCACAAGCTACATTCATCATCTACTTCGCCAATTCCTCTGTCATTAATATTTTTCTTGAGAATAATCTTTAATTCTTGCTATTGACTTGGAGTAATGATTGCTAAATATTCATAGATCCTCAGCTCGTCAATAACAACCCCAGCCAAAAAGTAAACCCAGTTGAGATTACCATAATGCCCTCCCGTCAATTACCACCACCTCCACTCCGCCACCAACACCACAACCACTTCCGCCACCTTGTTATCTTTCTGGCCTGCGGGCTGACGGCGACTTTTTCCCTCCTCATTCTCCTCGCTCTCTGCCTTCGCAAGTTCACCAACAAATGCACTTCTTCTTCCTGCGACACTGATTCCAAGAAACCCCCTCACAAACTCTCCTACTCCCTCCTCCGCCATGCTACGAACAACTTCTCGCCCTCCCTCCGCCTCGGTCAAGGTGGGTTCGGCTCCGTATACCACGGCACCATTAGGCTTGCCCCAATCTCCAAGAACATGCCTTTCCACGTTGCGATCAAGCTCATGGACTCTGGGTCACTCCAAGGTGAGCGTGAGTTCCAAAATGAACTGTTTTTTTCCTCAAAAATTAATTCTCAATACGTTGTTTCCGTGTTGGGTTTTTCGTCGAATCCCAGAAAACGTCGAATGCTTTTGGTTTATGAGCTCATGGAGAACGGCAGTTTGCAAGATTGTCTTTTTCAACAAAAAAGTGGAGAGTTAAAAAACTGGGACAAGAGGTTTTTAATTGCTTTGCATATAGCCAAGGGGCTTGAGTATTTACATCACTATTGTGATCCGCCAATTATTCATGGTGATGTTAAGCCGAGTAATATTTTGTTGGATGGGAGTTTTAATGCGAAAATTGCTGATTTTGGGTTGGCTAGGTTGAAGTTGGAAGAGAATGTTGAAGGTGAGGTGAAGGAGGGTAATTTGGGTAATGGGGTGGAGGATAATGGATCTGTATTGGAGGAGACAGAGAGTGTGATCACAGCCAGTGGGATTGAGGAGTTCAATAATGCTCAACATCAAGTGTGCGTGGAAAGGTCTCCGGAGGGTGCTTTTCTGCGGGTTGAGGCCTCACCAGAGGTAATAATGGGGGTGGAATTGTCGCCTGAGGCAGAGTCGGATCCTGTGATGTCGCCGACGACAGTGGCTGCAATGGCATCACCACCCGAGGGTTTGGAGAAGACGAGCGTATCAGAGGAGAAATTTGATAGGCTTAGTATTGAGAGTGGAGGAGAAAGGAATGTGTGGAAAAAGAAGAAGATTTTTTCTGGGAAAGATTGGTGGTGGAAGCAAGAAAATGGAGGAGAAGGGAAGTCAGGAAGGGTGAAGGATTATGTGATGGAATGGATTGGGAATGAAATAAAAAAGGAGAAACCGAAGAGCGAGTGGGTTGGAGTGTCATCAAGCGCAGGAGTGGTTGGGAAATTGGAAAAAAAGAAGAAGGAAAAGCAGCTAGATTGGTGGGTGTCTTTAGATGAAAAGAAGAATTTGAAGAAGGAGAAGAGGAGGCCTGCAAGCGAGTGGTGGAAGGAAGAGTATTGTGAGGAGCTCGAGAAGAAGAATAAAAAAAAGAAAAAACATTTGCAGGGTTCAATCAGTGATGATTGTTATAGTGGGAATTGGGAGCCAAGAGACCAACTGTATGCTGATATAAAGAAAAAAAGTAGGAACAGGAGTAGAGGTAGTGTGGATTGGTGGTTGGATGGGTTTAGTGGCGAGCTTTGGAGAGTGCGGAGAAGAAGTTATGATTCCATCGGTGGGGAGATACCTAAGAGTGGTGGTATTAGCAGCACACCAAGTATGAGAGGAACTGTGTGCTATGTTGCACCAGAGTATGGTGGTGGGGTTGATATATCTGAGAAATGTGATGTTTATAGTTACGGAGTTTTATTGTTAGTTCTTATTGCTGGACGTAGGCCACTTCAGGTGACTGGGTCACCCATGTCAGAGTTCCAACGGGCCAATCTTATATCTTGGGCGCGACATGTTGCCTGTGCAGGGAAGCTTCTTGATTTAGTTGATCTGAATATTCAATCTTTAAATAAAGAGCAAGCCCTGCTATGCATCACCGTGGCACTACTGTGCCTGCAGAAGTCACCTGTGTGCCGGCCTTCAATGAATGAGGTGGTGGGGATGCTGTGTGGAGATTTAGAATCTCCACAACTACCAGTTGAATTTTCCCCATCACCTCCCTCCCGCTTCCCATTTAAGTTACACAAGAAATTTTGGTAAGTTTTAGTTCAATGCCTACTTCTCCAAGAAGAGAAATTATTGTAAACAAATATTTATTATGTGAAAGATTAACGTAAAGAAAGAAAAAGATGAAATTACATATGAAAAGAACTTACGATTTTCGTCATGTTTCTTGAAGTTATTTTTCTCTTAGCAATGTAGATTCCCTTTTGGAAGTTTACTAATTTGGAACTTAAACCAATTGATCCAACGTCAATGTTTTTGTCTTGATTTTAGTATTTGTCTACTGTATTGCGCTTCTTCTTGAATATTTCTTTTGGATAGGTATTTCAATTTGTAAATCTCTGAGGGCCCATGATATTGATTAAGCATAGTTCTTCTTGTCTTGTGAGTTACTTGGACAGATGCCTTCATAAAAATTGCATAAACCCTTGTCAAATTGCCACTACTTTTATACGAATGTCTTGTTACATGCCTTGAGAAAGAACGTGTAATAATATGCCTATATGAACAGACAAAAATGTCTTAACAGTACTAAATTTTTCTGCTCATTGAAATAAGATAACTACAGAATGAATAAATAATGCGGTGATATCACGTCTTGCCGTATCGTGTACGAGGAGCATGTGTTATCCATCCTAAAATTTTAAGTTAAATATCAAAGGATAATAGTCAAGGTTGATGGAGACGAAGATTAAAGTAAAAAAATGCATTTCCTACTTTGAACACATCAATGCACAATTAGATGCACCTACTTATGACCAGAGCCTACCGACTATGCTGGAGTCAGATAACCATCCAACCAAATTTCTGTTGAAGATAAATATACATCAAAAGAAGATTGAAAGAGAAGATCTAGGACTGAAATCTGTAGAACTATACTCAGGTATTGCTATTACAGAGTGATTCTCGTTGTAGCAGGAGGCCACGTGCTCTAATTAATACCATGTTTGGATATACTTAAGAGTAAATTGCATATTAAACCTCCAATATTGGCCAAAAGTTAATTTTTCGTTTGGTTTTTGTAATTGTTCACATCCTTTTTATGTCTGGTTTTGTCCTCAATCCTTTGCTGCTATGGACAAAAACCAGATAAAAATGTCTTAACAGTCTTTAAATTTTTCTGCTCATTGAAATAAGATAACTACTGAATGAATAAATAATGCAGTGGTATCTGCAGAACGGCATAGCACATGCTCCTGCATGTGTTATCCATCCTAAAATTTTAAGTTAAATATCAAAGGATAATAGTCAAGGTTGATGGAGACAAAGATTAAATTTAAAATAAAAATAAAAATGCATTTCCTACTTCTTGAACACATCAATCCACAATTAGATGCACCTACTTATGACCAGAGCCTACTGACTATGCTGG